ACTAGCCTCTACATGCCAAACTTGCATCTTTCTAGACACGCCAAACAGCTATGATCAGCTATGATGTTTCATCTTGGTTGCCAACTTTATTGGACCTGGGCTCAACTAAGAGACACCTGTCTGAGGCAGGTCATTTCCTGTGACTCTTATAAAACGTTCTGACAAAAGTCATTTGAGCCGGGCGTTGGGGGCGCATGGCTTTAATCCCAGCACTCGGGAGGCAGAGGCAGGCGGATCTCTGTGAGTTCGAGGCCATCCTGGTCTACAGAGCGAGTGCCAGGATAGGCTCCAAAGCTACACAGAGAAACCCTGTCTGAAAACCAAAACAAGAAAGAAAAAAGTCATTTGATGGAAAAGGGGGTCATTTGGCCCACAGTTCCAGGTTGCAGTCCATCACTGTGGGGAAATCAAGGCAGCGGAGTTGGAGCATCCAATCACATTTCAACCACAGTCAAGAGCAAAGAGCAGTGAATTAATACATGAAGGCTAGTGCTCAACTCATTTTCTCCATTTTTAGACAATCCAGGATCCTCTAATCAGGAACTGGTGCCACCCACAGTGGGCAGATCTTTGCATTAATCAATTCCACCCCTCAAGATGATCATTTCTAGTTTGATTTTATACCAATTGTAAGGATTCAGGCATTATGCTGGCCTGCCCCTGTCAGCTGGCAGAGGGGACTGAGGCAGTGCCCTCTGGGTCAGCCCAGGGTTCCATGGCTACTACATCACTTTATAGTCTGCACACAGGTGCAAATGACTCTTTAAAAGAAAAACCCCCACCCTTTGCTCTTTCCCACTGTTCTCCTGGTGCAGACAGGACTTTCCCTGTCTCCTTCTTCTCTTGTGTCCTCTGTCTGTCTCTGCCTCTCTTTACCTCTTTTCTCTCCCCCCCCCCCCCGCTTCCCTTTCTAATAAAACTTCTCACTTAAGCTCTGTCTGCCTGGCAGTTTGTCTCAATTCCCAGTAACCACATGGTGGCTCACAGCCATCTGTGAGATTTGGTGCCCTCTTCTGGCTCACAGGCATACATGCAAGCAGAACACTGTATACATCATTAATTAATTAATTAAACCTTTTAAAAAAGTTGACAATTAAAAACATACAGAGCGTATTCCTTAGAAGAATTAAGAGGAGAAAGCTCCCGCCCAGAGTGGGCTGCACCTTATGCTGCTCAGATCTAGAGACCTGAGAGAAAAGCAGGCTAGCCTTTGCCTGTCTGCTTAAGCCTTTGCTGGTGAGTGTATCTACACTATTGCTGCCGCCTTTGCCACCAGTCACCCTTTGCTGACATAAGAACTCAGATTTTTTTCAGCCTTCCAATGTGGGTTAAAGGTCAGTGGCTCTCCGGGCATCCTCTAGGCCTTCAACACCAGATTAAGACAGCACTGTGGAGGTAGAGGCAGGCGGACCTCTGTGAGTTCGAGGCCAGCCTGGTCTACAGAGCGAGTGCCAGGATAGGCTCCAAAGCTACACAGAGAAACCCTGCCTCAAAAAACAAAAACAAGCTGAGGCATCGAGCTTTGTGGACTGAGCAGCTACTGGGCTCTCGTCCTTTCTAATATTCAAGCAGTCGTTGTGGGACTGCCCAGTCTGTACTGCGTAAACCAATCTAGTAAAGCTACTACACAATATCCATTCTTGAGACCCTGTCTCAAAGCACCAAACTGGAAAATAAAAAGCCATTCAGTCAATTCTGTTCCTCTGAGTAAACCTGTCTGTGACTGTGATTTCCCTAGGCAAAGTACATAATCTAGAATCCACCTCCAAACCCACACACCACCCACCTACTCCTCTGACTGGTCCATCATGCCATGGGTAATTAGTCTGTGTCCTCAGCACTTCAGGAAAGGTATCAGGCATTAAGGACACCCATGTCTTCGGAGACACTGAAACTATTAATATTAACTAATTCTAAACTTGATTTTCACAAAACACAATAATGTCTCTTGCTCACCAATTCCCCTTATTCCCCGTGCTTCCTGACCAGCCCTGTGCTTCCCGTGTGATTTTATGTGGCACTGCACATTCCCTTGTCTATAAAAAGCTACCCTTTCAAAGGATAATCTCTTCATGTCTGTTGGTTTCATCCTATCTGCATCTTAAAACATCTTGATGCCTGAGTGAAATGAGAGATAAGAATTTGAATCCCTGATGTTTGGGGTGGGAAGGATGCCACCGTGCACATTAGACCAGCTCACCTTTGCAGGGCTCCCAGAAGGCTCAATGCAGAATCTGTGTCTGGGGAAGAGAAAGCTGCCTAGAAATGAGAACAAGCCAGAAGGCTGCCTGAGGGAGAGACTGGCCCCAGGGGAGTCGTGGTAAATAAGCACACAAAGGGGCGGGGCAGGACAGCAAGAGTTAGCGCATCTCCCACAGGCACTGGAAGCCTCGAGGAGGAGACAGATTCAGGGAGCATCCAAACTCCTCCCAACCAGAGTCCTGACATCATCCGAGTCGTCTTTCTCCCTTGCAGATGCTTTCTGCACAAGCCAGCCACTCCTTAGT